CAAAGAAAGCAGAAACTGATTTTGGGAGGTGGTTAGGTTAGGTCAGATTAAATTGGTCAGAGGGAAGGTACAGAGATAACAGGAAAGTACCCAAAATTCATGTGCGCTGCCATAATTTCCTTAACTCTTGGCATCTATGACTAGCAGCAGATGAAATTAAGAATCTGCAATTAATTCTCATAACCCTCATCTCCAGCATCACCAGTCAGTGACTAGTCCTATGCACTCTGGCAAATTACTGTAATTGCGCCAGGAATAACCAGCACCAGCAGGCACGCTAAAGATAACTTTGCAGGAATCATTTTATGATTTATTCAAATCATTTTATGGCTACTTCTGTGCTCTTCATCATGAGCTAACCTAACCTAACTTCACTTCACACCCTCAGTATATAAAAAAAACTTGATCTGAACCAGTGTTCCCCAACCTGTGGGCCATGGACTGGTGCCGGTCTGCGGAAGTTTTTTGCCAGTCCGCAGGAAAATTCTAGGTGTTGAGGATGCATGAAAATTGAAAAATAAGATTTCATATATTTTGGAAAAGATATGCAAATTGTCCCAATCTGAAGGCATTTTCCAGATGTTGGGGCAGATTTTTTGTTTTTGTTTTAAGAGACCCTAGATCAAAGCATCTGTTTTTTTGGGCATTTCAAGGTCTCACGGTAATTGTAAAACAAGTTGTTTTCTTGATAATATGAAGCAGCTATCAATGTTGATGTAATTTTCAACTAGACATTTTTCACAAGACTGCATTTTCTCCAGGCGCCATCTCTTGGATGTTAGGAAAAATTCAAAACCTAAGGAATAAATTGTTTGTCTGAACGGCGCCTGGCTGCATTAGCAATAATCTGCTAAAATATTTCCTCTCTGAGAAGAAATTCAAACTCTTCTGAAAATCTAGCAAAATTAAGAAAGTATCTTTGCTGATGAATGAAAGCAAAACTCTCTGCCTTTTGTGAGTAATTACGTTTCCTCACATCAAAGTTTCCATGAAGCACACCATTTAAAAAATTGGCACTTTCTTGTTATCTCTGTACCTGATTCCTAGACTGCACTACCATCCAGACAAATCTTCAGGATGAGTTCATAATCAAGACAACCTGCCAGAAACTGTGAATTTTATTTTTCCGCATTCTGCCAAAACTGATTTTGGGAGGTTGTTAGGTAACGTTGGGTTAGGTCAGGTTATGTTAGTTACAAATATCTTTTAATTAACATAACCTGACCCAACCTAACTTCACCTAACCGCCTCCCAAAATCAGTTTCTGCTTTCTTTGGGTTCCTGCTGAAACTGATTTTGGGAGGCAGTTAGGTAAAGTTAGGTTAGGTCAGAATCATCAGATTAAATTGGTCAGAGGGAAGGTACAGAGTTAACAGGAAAGTAGGTACAGAGATAACAGGAAAGTACCAACAAATTAATAGAGACAGTATTTATACATAATTTAATGCATTAAAATTTGAGAATTGCATTTGCAATTTTGTGCTTTCATCTCTCCAGCGTCTTTCTACGTTTCATACATCATATCCGTGCTGGTCTGCGCCCTGCCATGCACTCTTCTGGAGCTGACAGTGGGCCAGTACACGGGCCTGGGGCCCATTCGCAGCTGCAGGAGCGTCGCGCCGGTCTTCACAGGTACTGCATCTATTTATCGACGGGGTTCCGTTAATTATGAACCAGGGCCTTTTATCTCGTATTTCCGATGTTGACAAGGTCTGGGTATCGCCAACGTCATGACGTCAGCCTTCTGCTCCGTCTACTGGAACATGACCCACGCCTGGCTCATTTATTACTTGTACAATTCCTTCTTCACTCCACTGCCTTGGCTGACGTGCACCAACGCCTGGAATACCCATGGTAGGAATGTCTGAAGGGATCTGAGCATAACTTCACCTTCTTTATGTCAGTGAGTGCGTATTCGAGTGTACATCAGTGCTGGACTGATGAGTAAATAAATATTGCGATCCAAGATGCCGTTGAACCTCGATAACTCGAACCTCAATCAATTTAATATCTCAAAATTCCGATTTTTCCCATTTCCCGTCTAAATTCCTTCAGATAAATTCAAACAATGCATTCGAAAGCTCTCCAACTATCAAATGCTTTCCTTATTCTCAAACCCCTGTATAACTCAAATTTTATGGAGGTCTTTTGGCAATTGTATTTTTATTTCCGCATAAAATAACAGATTTGAGAAATTCAGCTTGGGCAAGCCGTCAGTTGTGGCCAGGAACACTTTATTAGGGGGACACCTTGGGTATGGGTTATTCCAAGCTTTGTAATAAAGTCTATTCAATTTGTTTTCAAGTCAAAGAATATTCAGAATTCAAGAATTAAACTCAATAAATTCCCCACACACCAAGATCACATAAAATAAAATAAAACATCAAAATCGTGCACAAGTTGGATAAAGAAATACAGAAATTATTCTTCTCTAAGATTTCTGAAAAGACAACTCAAAAATTTGAAAATTTTAAGCACCTGATATTATTTTAATGGAACAATCTAGTCATATGGTCTGATCAGAAAATTCCATCAAATTTCTTGGCCTTCCATTGGCCAAAAAAAAATCTACAAGGTTCTTGTGCGCCTTTGTCACAGCTGATGCAGGCCTTTTCTCATTCTCTCCTCAACAGTATTTACAGTATTATGTTGAAAAAGGGAAGGCAATAATCATAAAAACCCAACTCGTTGCATTTTTGAAAGAATGTGAAAAACTAATTAGGCAAATAGACCTTCAACTTTAGCATTTGGAACACCCTATACCACTTGTGAGGGTGTCTCCATATATTTTCAGCATCTGGTCAACTCATTTAAAGGAAAGAAATTCATGTCCAAGAATATCCAAGTCGAATAATTTTTTGTCCCTTGAATTTGAACTCAAGAGGTTTTGACTGTGGTTAATTGTTCCTTGGTTGGTGGCTCTTTGAGATTGAAAACGATTTTTCACCCAACCGAGAGACAAATTTTGACATAATAGGTTTGGTTTCTCATTTTAAAACTGAGCTAAAAAGAATTCTCGAATCAATTGATCAGATCATTTGATTGCCGGAACATTCACGCATTGGTCATCACTAATTTAACGGGAATGCATGTTATTGATGTCATGAATGTTCGAAGTTCCGGATTCAAATTTCATATGCAGTACACAGATGGGACCTGCAATTTTGCTGATGAGCCTCGTTAAGTTTTGACATTGCTCGCATCCGGCTTTCAACTAACAGAAAGTAAACTTTCAATCCGAAAAAATGTATGAAAAGAGAGGTTTTTAAATTTTGAAGTTAACCTTTGGAAAATTCGTGGGTAAAAGAAATTTTTGTTTCTATTCGACGAAGTGCTTGTAGATTACTACATTGATCAACCGAATACTAAATCTAATAAAGTTGTTTTTTTCAGTGCTTTAAGATGATTTTCAAACAGCGAACCAGACACACACATTTCCATAAACTAGACTTTAAAGTGATGTTTCGCAGTTTTGAAAGTTCATCTTGAATTTCCTTTTATTAATACCCTGGGATTTTCGAAAAAAAAATTGAATTTTTTACTATAGGTTTAACTTTCCAGGTTCCAGATCCAGGCATCCTGTGTGAAATTTTTTTTGAAATTGCCTCTGCTTCCGTTGGTAGGATTGGTAGGAAACAAATCACTTCATAAATGTGCAGAAAAGTATGTTTTCATCGCATGGAAATCGGACCGAAAACATGTTTCCTATCGCATCATAAATAATTCGCTTTCCTCACGCTATCTGAGCAACAAGAAAGTCACATCTGTTCGAAGAGAATATCTGGTACCCCTGAGATGTCTTCGACTGTATAGAACTGTAATGCAATATTGTCTGGCTTTTTGCTAAGAATGATGAGGCAATTGAAACATAAATGGAATAGACCTACTTTTCTGACTGCCGTATTTTTTTTTCACCCAGAAGGATGTTTTGTCTGAGTTATTCAGATTATTTATTCACAGTTATGCCACAAAATATGGACATGATTGCTTTCGGATTGTCTCCATGTTCCAAAATGTCTGCCTGTCATATCACACTTCCGGCCCCTATAGATTTGATGTTTTTTAAACCATTTCCAATGTTCTGCAAAAATTAGAAAGGTCCTCAAAAAATGAGCTTTTCTTCACTTTGAGACGCAAGAAATAAATGCCATAAAACATGTGAAATCTTTGCTATTGGCTCACAAATAAGACGCAAAGGGAGAATAAATGAATTCATTGAAAACCACTAATTAAAGGACGAAATGGGCGGCTTGTTTTGGAAAAAAGACGTTTACAATAAGCTGCAATGTACGTGGATTTCTTTATAACAGGAGCTCAACTTGTTCTAGAGATAATGAATTTGAAAAAAGTTGTAAATGTATACGTCAGGAAAAATATGAACGAAACATTTTTTAAAAATAAATAATATTATTTATCATAAGCACTTCTTTATCCGAATTTAGAAGCTCAAAAACTCGAAGGGGGGTTTGTATATTCACTCATTGATGTTACCGAAAGTACGGCATTTCCAAGATGGTCGGCATGATTTTTCGAGTTTGAAGTTTCTATATGAGTTGTAAGGGTGCCCAAATCCTGAGACCTCTCTGTATTTAATTCTACAGCATTAATGTACTATTTTTTTTGTTATGTTTTTCAGATTGTTTTTCCATCAAAAACGACGAGGAATGTCGTGCAATAAACCAGACTTTCTTCTACGGCGGCTGTCAAACCATGGAAACATTTTGCGCCAGCAGATTGGTGAATGGTCATCGCTTTGCAGCAGTCCCCGGAGAAACGAGGTCGTGTCAGAACCTGACGAGCTCGTCACTGGTGTCACTGAGCGTTTTGCGAGGCAACACCACTCATCCCCCAGCGGAGTTTTTTAAGAAAGCTCGGTCTCTTATTTCACGGCTTGGAACATATTTTAGAAAATGTTTTTTTCTCTTTTTTTTCCCCCTGTATTCTGCCATCCACGTCGCAGGCGGAGTCTGTTGCAGGATGCGTTTGTCGACGGCACTGACGCGTCGCTGACGAGACTCGGGGACCTGTCGTTTCCGGTGCTCATTTGCAATTCCGTGGCCTGGGCAATGACGTTTTTCTACATTGTGCTGGTCAAGAATGCGAGTAACAAGGCGTATGTTGCGACCTGGTTGACAGCAACGACGATGTTCAAGGCCCTGCTTATGAGTGTTTTGGTCCTACGAGGTCAGTTTATCCAGCTTATTATCCTGCGTGCCAATTTATTATAGTCTGCTACTTCTTTATTTTTGGAGAGGGATAAGAAAAATGACAAACGGCATATGGAGGCTTCTGGAGTTGAGTCCTGCATTAATAAGGCCAAGTACTCAAACTTCTCGACGAATATAAATGCACGTTTCATTTCCGCTATTATTATTTTTTATTATGACAGATTGATGCTTATTTTTCATTGAGATTACAGTAATATCAGACTGCTTCGAAAAAGGCTCAAAACAATTCATGATTTCAAGCACATTCATTTTTATAATGATGAAGCTTTAAACATTCCTAGTAATACGCACTTGCATGTAAAATCTCATATTTCGGGAAATGAACAGTTTGTCTCAAGGAAAACATGAATTTCTGAAAACTAAATTTTCTATCGATAAGATTGGAGTCAAAAGAAAATACTGTGCCTGATTTTAGGAATTCTCTTGCTTATAAATTGATTTCTTGGATCAGAGCATTTTATTGACCAGCAGCTAAGCTTGAATGACCTATTAGAGTCAAAACCCCATTAAGATGCAACTAAGTAATAAGCGTCATCTTTGGCAACTGCCAACATTTTTGGCAGAACGAATCAATTCCGCGAAAATGAATAACTTTAGAAATCCCGTGTTGTTTGGTGCAGTAAGTGCCATTGACCACGATTAATGGCTAAGTAAAAAGCTCATCGGCATTGGTTTTGTCTTCGTTAAATTTTTTACATTCTAATGTTCACGCAGTTGTAAAATCTTTTTCGTGCTGAGGGCTTTCTGTGCATAAAAAATATGGAAGTTGACTAAAACATTTTCTGATCATGAATATAAGACTAACAGTACATTCAGACAATTTGACTAATGGACATTTGATACCTCAAAAAATCTGCCCGTCATCCAGACAATATCTCAATAGACGAATAATTTAACAAAATTTCAAGACGAATCACAAGAATGTATTTTATAGAAATGTTGATATCTCATGAGCAAACTCAACATGAAATTTCATCGAAAATTCACTTTTATTCATAATCCAGAACAAACTACTTTTGTGCTTCTTTTTTTTTTTCAGAGCGCTTTCCATCATCATTGTTTCGTTAGTATAGAATACTTGTGCTTGTTTTTTGTTATTGCTTTTCGGGCTCCTTTTCATGCAAAAAGATCAGACTTTGTGTGATTTACTTCTGTACTGTTATTCTCTGTGTCTTGGAGTTCAGAAAAAATTATTTTTGAGGAACTTTTTCCTAATTTTTCATCAACATGGGCAACAATTTACATATATTTCTTTCAAAGTCTAAAGGAAACCACGATCTGACATGCAGACAAAGTCCATGCATCAATTATGTCCGTTTTTTCGGGCTATTTCAGTAATTACATTCAAAATATAAATCACAATTTCCAAAAAATAAATCACGATTTATATTTTTACGATTATTTTTGTTTAGTCATTGAGTATTACAAAGCAGTATCAATATTTCACTGACAAAATCGGGGAAACACCAGTTGTACTCCACAGTTATTGGGTTCTCTCTACTTGTGATGCCATATTTTCGGAAGAATAACCTTCACCACCCCATTCCAATAGAGTACAGTGCAAATATTTGGATAGCAATGCGATTGACCTGACCTTCGAGACTATAGGAGTCCACATATAGGGAGGATGATGAAATAATAAGAAAAAAGAATCCCTTTATAATTCCTTCGGGATTCCCTTGGAGAATGACCCCTGTGATTCGGGGAATGAATCTGCACCTGGATTTCCGCAGCTGTGACCCTGCCTAATGCAGGTGCGGGTCTCGCCGTGTTCGGCACCGACTGGGTTCGCCACCTGATGGACCCTAATTTGTGGTTCGACAGCATGACGCATACGATTTATTGCTCCGGCGTCGGATTCGGGGGCTTGTTCTCATTAGCTACACGCAACGACTTCCATCACGCCTTCGTCTGGTGAGTACTACAGACAGAACAGTACGGCAGAAATGTACATCTGAGAACCCTTCTTTTGGGTACGCAATCTAACACCCTCTCAAGAGGGCTGGTCCATAAGTTTTGAGAAATTTTTAAATAAATTCAACGGAATTGAAATTCAATTTTTTTATTCACATAGCAATATCATTTGGAGACACTTGAGTCCTGTTCAACATACTCTTTGCCAAATTCAATGTATATTTTTCATGCAATCAATTCAATGATCAAAATAGTGCCAAAAATCAAGTTCTGGTACTACAGAAGTTCATTAGCCCTTGTGCGGCAAAGTTGGGATATTTTTGCAAAATTGTGTGCCACTGGGCACTGGGAATAAAAAAAAAACCTACTTTCTTATCAATGGCTAAGTTGGGGAAAAGTTCAAGATTTTTTTCTAATCCTGCAAAAATTTTTCAATGAAAATTTAAAAAAAGCCCTTGTTGGGTGGTGTTTTTTCCTGCATTCCTGGCACAGGATTTGCATGGGAAAATCTTAGAAACAAGAGAAAATTTGCCTCCTGGATTTTTCCCAAATTAGGCCTCCTCAACCTGGGTGCATTTTGGTAACCTTGGGTCAAACTGAAATCCACAGCCCCCTAGAAAAATCCTGACTCTGCCGCACACTGTGAAGGAACCCTCTGCCATCCAAGGGTTAAGCTGCTCTTTGACAGTGGAAATTAGGCTGTCTCTTTCCTTAGAAATTGATCCTTTACAGGCTGTTCTTCACGATATTGGGAAAAGCTGATATAGGAAGTCACGGGTTCCCCAATCAACTAAAAAAGAACTCAATTTTTGTCACTGTTTTGATCATTGAATTCAATGCATGAAGAAATGCATTGAATATGGGGAAGAGCATGTGGAACACCATTGAATTCTTGCCAAATGATATGGGGCAATGCAAATAAATATATGCAGTATACATTTTTGAATTGTTGAAACTTCCTTGAATGTATTTCAAAAAATTTCAAAACATGAACTAATCCTTGTGTATGTTAGCAGGTGATGTCAGGGAAAATACCTTCTTCCTTGTTTTGTTATGGGGTTTTTTTCCTAACCTGCGACACTGTGGTTTTTTTTTAATATCACTTTTCTCTGGTTTTTTTATCAATCATCACGCGTGTTTTCGTGGCATCTAGTTACCGTTTTAAAGAACAATGCCTCTCGTCTCGCTAATTATAGTTCCACTTTTCTGAAAACCCTTCGCCTGGGGCAAAGTACATTTTTTCTTTAAGACTGTGTCCCTAAGGTGTACCATGAATTACCCAGTGACGCGTTCGTAATCCCAACAAAATTGCTGTGAATCCTTATTGATTTTATATTTCCTTGTGCTCTCTCCTGGTTAGGCATTTTGTGTTCAACAAATCTTCAGCGATTTTACAAAATCTCTCATCAAATTTTGGAAGAAAAGCTAAAGAAGTGAAATATTTGCAAGATTTACTGGTTGAGATCTCTCCAATAAAATTCTAAAGATAAGTCTTAACCCTTGTGCAGCAAAGTTGGGACATTTTTGCAAAATTTTGTGCCAGTGCGCACTGGGAATGAAAAAAAACCTAATTTTTTTATGGAGGGCTATAAGTAGGGAAAAAGTCCGAGGTTTCTTTCTAATCCTGCAGAAAATTTTGAACAAAAATTTTAAAAAATCCCTCACTGGGTGGCATTTTTTCATGCATTCCTGGCATAGGATTTCCATGGGGAAATCTTAGAAACAAAAGAAAATGTGCCTCCTGGATTTTTCCCAACTTAGGCCTTCTCAAGCTGGGTACATTTCAGTAACATTTGGTCAAACTGAAATGCGCTGCCCCCCAGAAAAATCCCAACTCCGCCTTGCACTGAAAAAGAACCCTCCCCCATCCAAGGGTTAAAGGAGGTATTTGGCAGAGGGTGCATTGAGTTATTAAGGTTCAACTATAGTCACTGATGGAGCACCATGAACATGTTTTTTTATTGGGAGCAAACAAGTACTGTACCGTAGTTTGCTTAAATTTTAATACATTCCGTGAACATCACAGCTGAGGCAATTGGGAAATAATGAATCTTTAGTAATGTTTTCAGAGATGACTAAATAAATTTGTATTATTTCAAAAGATTTATTTACCACCAACAATATTTGGAAGATAATGCATTGTGAAACAAGAAAGGCCACCGAGAAATCTATTTCCGGTTCAAATGATGCTCAAGTTCAATGATGGATTTTATTTTTTCGGTTAAAGTTTCAATTTATCAGGGAATCGAAAGTATGGGACGAAAAATTTCTTCGGGAAAGCAGGTAACATTTAAAAAATATTAAAGTATCTTATAATTATATTATTATACATGCTCTGAGGCCTCGGAAGGAGGCAACAAACGAAATTAAAATCACCCGAGGTCACGCGACGACGATGAAGCATTCCGCATTTACTCAACTTGAAACAGTACTGGAGAAAAGTACTTCCCTCAACCCCAGATTGGGACTGCATGGTTACAAACACAGCATGGATAGATTTTATCCTGTGTATAGATCTCCCTGGAAATAAAAAGAAATGAGTAAGTCTGGAACGGTTTGCAGGGATTCCATCGGACTTTGTTTCATGAACGCTGTCGTGTCGACGCTCATGAGCCTGGCCTTCTACGCATACGTCGGAGAGATGTGGAAAAATGCTGACGGCGCTGACGGGAATACAATTGTGAGCACGTTTCTCAATCCTGTTTTCCCCCCGAAAAAAAAATAATAAACGGAAAATTCATTCCTGCTGAACGAGAACAACGACCCCTTGTGACATTTCCCCCCGTATTTTCACCATTTTTCCTTTGCCTTTTTCCCCCTTTCTGTTCGTCGGCACTTTTTCTCCACCCTTGGTTTTCATTTTCTCTCCAGACTTCCGTGACGGTGAACAAAGTGATCAAATACGGGTTCGGCTTGATTTTCTCCACCTACCCTGAAGCAATGGCCGTCACACCCGTGCCGAATTTGTGGTCCATACTGCTCTTCTCCATGCTGACTTTCAACACTCTCGATTCAGAGGTTCATGGGATTTCATTTATCTCAAATCCATGATTTAATGCATAAGAATCAAATATTGATGAAAACGTATTCTTAAAACGTTGTTGAATATCTTATACTTGCAGTTGAGGTCCTGAAGATCTCAATAAATTTACTGCGTTCCGAGAAAATAACCCGTACTGTACTGTATATTGAAAAGGTTCTCGTTCGAATGATGCAAATTGAAGTTGCCCCGATACCTAGGTTTTTCTTCCTTCTGCAAACGATGCAGAATTTCTGTTATCTCAACTATAGGTTGAATACAGTAAAAGATTTTCAGTGTAGTATAAAAAGGCCTTATATAACTATTGCAGTATTTCTTGTGTCAAAAAATTTCTCCTGAATGGTTGATGTCGTCACGATTTTACTCCTTCTTTCAGCATTTTCAAGTTTTTTTGTTCAAAGCTTGCTGAAGTAAGCTTTCTTGAGGGTTATATGCTGAACATGAATACTCCTACTATAGTTAAGAACAGCTTGCTTGCTGGGTTCTTTATAGACGTGGTACTTTGCAATTTGACCATCCCACAATTCTATGAACAAATTTTCTGGGAGGTTCAATTGCAATTCGACCTGTGCCCCAAAATTCAACCAGCAGATGCTTTGGCCACTTTTTTTATTTTTAGTGATATTTTTGAATTTCACAAAGCATCTTGCAATTTGACTGCTTTGCAATTTGAACTTGCTGGTTTGGCTGCAGACTAGGATCAACATGCAAGGTACCACCTGTACAGTAGAATTTCATTGGAACAAATCTTGCAAGATTTTTGCTCTAAAACTTTTTCTTGGTTCAAGCAGATAACCGGTATGTTATTCAAATCTCATTTTAACAATGTCATTTCCACTTTTTAAGCTGTAATTTCTGGATAACAAATGCTTGCCCCTGATCCTGCCCACGGGCTGTCTGTTGGGCATTCCTGGTGGTAAAATATTATCATTGCTGTTTCTAGAGAACCCCGATGCGGTCGAGATTAAATGTACAGTACTGCACTGTACGAGAATAATTCAATAACTGGTTCTTCCTCTGGAATAAAAGTGCGCTGAATTTTCCTTAAAAGAGCGGCATGGTCAAGGTTGTCGTTCTGGCAGTGGAAGAAGCCTGGCCTGTTTGCGTCGGTCGCCGATTCTGGGTCACGCTGTGCATTTGCGTCTCGGGGTTCCTGCTGAGTCTGCCCCTGTGCTTCCAGGGCGGGATCTACCTCATCATCCTCATGATTGACTTCTCGGCTGTCTCGCCGCTGCTCCTTGTTTGCCTGCTCAACGTCCTGGGCTTTATCTTTGTCTACGGTGAGTCTACACTGTACTGTACAGTATATACTTACTGTACAAGTATGCATTCTGGGGGGGAAATGCATGCCTGATGCTGGTGCAGTACAGTATATATACGCGTACTGTATACGTATCTCCGTGTTCCGTTTCGAGGCACAATTTCCTTCCTTGTGTAAACGCGGGACTGGAGGGGCTCTTGCCAAGGCATGTATGTATATACCGACGACCACAGTCGATATGAGAGTCTGCTGTTATGTGGTAACAGGAGTCAAATTTTTATTTATTTTTTGCTTTAAGCCATTTAAATCCCAACGCTGGAATGCTGTTCTTGTCAGCATGAATCTGAAACGAGATTCTGCAGAGGAAATAAGGAGAAGCTGGGGCGAAATATGCTTTGGTATAAGACTTTATAGATTTGATGATACGAATGGTCAGTCACGTTCCTTGCCAGAGTTGCCACTACCTGAACTGCTTCGAATTTGAGCATTTAATATGTTTGAAAATGTTTGTGATTGAAAAGTTCAGGAGAGTTCGATATGAGAGTCTGCTGTTGTGGTAACAGGAGCAAATTATTTTTTCTTTTTTGCTTTAAACAATTCAAGTCCTAAAGCTGGAATGCTGTACTTGTCAGCATGAATCTGAAACGAGATTCTGCAGAGGAAATAAGGAGAAGCTGGGGCAAAACATTTTTTGGTATACGGCGTTACAGATTTGATATTACAGTGCAAATGGTCAGTCAAGTTCCTTATATTGCCACTATCTGACTTGCTTCGAATTTGAGCATTTAATTTGTTTGAAAATGTTCGTGATTGAAAAGTTTAGGAGAGTTGCAGAAGATGATCCGTCTTCTGGGCGAGGCAGATTATTTTGGAAGATTAAACTACAAAAACTGTTTTAAGATCACGAATGCTTCCGAGTATACTGAAAAAAGGTGGAAGAAAAGTATTGATTTGATTAAAAAGTTGCTTCATTTCATTGAAATTTCAAATTATTTTCAAAACTTCACCGAACAAGGTAAAGTACTGGGATTCAAGATCCGTTTCCTTCATGAATAATCATAAGCGCTACAAACGCCGCAGAAATATTTTCAGACTGCAACCCAATATATGAATGACTTTTTACATGAGCCTTTATAAATTAAGGAAAACGAGATCTTACTCAAAAGTACATTCCCCCATTTTGAAGCAAAAATGAGAAAAGCCAAATCCGGGTCCCAAATAGGGAGAAGCATGGGCAGTATACCGTTGGCAATGGAGTTGAATTTTAAAAATAACGAGTTGTCCGTCCCATTTTTTGCCAAAATTTGAATTATTTCGAGTTTGATCGAGGTTTTTTTATTAAAAAAAATTTAATCATTCACGAGTGAAGAAAAATGCGTTCAGGGTAATGCAGATTCGGAGAGATCAAAACTTGTTGGAATTCATGAATGCTTCCGATTAATAATCAGAAAGGAAAGGGAAAGCATTGATATCATTCAGAAGATTCATCATCTCATCGTTTCAAATGTTCAATTATGGCGTGGATAAAAATATCACCGTGAAGCTCATTCAAATTTTCGGGATTTTTGTTTAAATAGCATCGATGCACATTCTTTGAACATTTGAATCAAATACTATGTATATACATATAGTAGCCGAGATGCGATCTTAATAAAATATGACTTCCCTTATTTAGAAAAAAAAAGATATGTATATTCGAAACTGTAGACCAACCATTGCTGGAATTAAGAAAACGTATTGTTCGATAACCAGTTATCAGTTTGACATCATTTTTTCGTTTCTTGGAAATTTATTATCCCTCAGGAATCAGGACACCGTTTGAAATTAGATCAATGATGTTCAAGCCTTCATTATTAAGCTGTATCGGTAAATATCTTATTTTTTGTCATTTATGTAGGAAAAATGTTCAAATTTATCTTTCCTTCCTGGATTCACTTACGGTCTAGTGTTTTTCATGATATCAAGCGATCATTTCAAACTTATCCACTCCTTCTTTTCTTTTATCTGTACGGATGGTATATGTTCGAAATGGCTCAGAAAAGCGGAATAATCCGCCTGCTGTTACGATTCTGCTGGTGTTGATAAATGACCTCTTCGCAAAGCTCAATTCCCTTTCCTTTTTTCCGTTTTTTTTGGGTTGTTTTTCGTCTTTGGAACAGGCCGAGAGAAATTGCTTGGGCACTTTGAGGAGATGGTCAAGCCGGGCGTCTGGGTCAAGAGGTATCTCAAGATCACTTGGCTGTATAGTGTGCCGGTCATCTTGTCGGTGAGCCGTGAGATTGATGCTCTTTTTATTCTCGGAAGCTGGGAAAGCGAAACGACTGGCGTTGATCCCAACACTCTTCTTCTAATTCCATTTTTTTTCTTTTTATAGGGCTCTCATTTATTTCCTTTTTATTCATTTTTTTCAAGATCTATTGCTTTTCACTTCATAGGAGGGGTTCTATATGAAAGTTTTTGGAGTTGGACTTGAAACAGCATACAATTGAGCTGAAAACAAGTATTCTTAAGAAAAAATAGATTCTTTGGCACAAAACTCAGGCCTTTCTGACATATTGTGCAGAAAATCTTTGCAAAAGTCACCCTTCAAGCATTCTGCTTGTCTTTATAGAGCTTTGGCACGTAGCTTGTGTGCTTTTTGGGTTTACCCCAGCTGGTCCTTCATAATTTTTGAAATGGAAATTGAATTGATTCTGGGGGGTTGCCTCCATGTACTTCTTCCAGGGTAATTGTGCCATTTTCACTAACAGCTGCCTTCACAGCAGCCACCACATTATTATCCTAAGTGATTACTGTCAACCCTTTGGCAGCAGTGCTGGGATATTTTTGCAGGAATTTCTCAATAGACATTCTTAAATATAAAGAAAATATTAAATTTGTGAATGTATTAGCGTGAATTGGGAACTATCCATGCATTATTTCTAGCTGTGCAAAAGAGTTTTGGGAGAGCCAAAAGAAGCTCTCCTCTTAGTCTGGTGTTTTTCCAACCTTCAGGCAACTAGCAGCTGAATTTTTCCAATTTTCCTCCCCTAGCTTGATCCAAGTATTTCCTGGCTTTATACCACTCCGCTCGTTTAAATCAGCATGCAAAAATCCCTGCAACGCAGTGCAATAAATCAAAAGAACCCTCCCCTCACCATGAAGGGTTCCTTTAAACGGTGATAATTCTTAATCAATTAATGGCGGACACCCTTGGAAGTAGCGCCATTTCAGGTTTTAAATTTTTTGGGAAATATTTTTGTTCATTTTATGGAAATCTGAGGTACATGACAGAATCTTCAAGATGGGTTTTTCATATTTTTGGAAAGAACGGGGTATATGCATATTGCATAATACCCATCAATTGTGCAATCGAACTTATTGTGGAATGAATTTTCTTTTTTTTTTATCCCTATGCAGGTTTATTTTCTGTGTTTCCCATTCTGAAGTGATTGAATGCGTTTGAATGGATTTGAGTTGGGTGAGGAGGGGGTTGGGTAGTGGGAATGTCGATTGAACTTGGAAAGACCAAGTTTTCAGCATTCACATGGTGAATGCTGAAAAGCGGAAAATAAAGCTTTCTGTTCATTCATTCATATTTTCAGTGAATAGCACAAAGCTGCCAGGGTGACTTCGGCAATTATTTATGCTATGTACGTCAAATAAACATGGCTAATTTTTTTCTTCCGCTAAAGAATGTTTTTTCCTAAATAATACTCTACCTTTTTATTGGCTCAATCATATGCCGTTCCATTCATTTTTCATAAGGGTAACTTTTGCTAGACCCCCTGATATTTGAACGTCTGGCGCAGATCTGCACATTCGTCAGCTTCGTCTTTTTGGCACAACCCGCGGCCGTCATTCTGATGGACTCCCCGCTGACGACGAACGTGCTGGGCTGGAGCTACGTACTAGTCCACATCCTTCCCATCCCCTTTGCGGCGCTGGTGGAAATTTGGCGCAGTTTCCGGAAAAACGAGGTCTAGTTCCGATTGATTTTGCTCTTTCCCGGCTGTTTATTGCGCAGTCCCGAACTCTTTATGCTCCCGATTCAGACGCAATCCTTTCACGAACTTCATTATTCCTGGAGTTTCAGGCGAATCTCGAGTAACTGGAATATTGAAGCTTGTCTGACATTGGTACAGTGGTAAATTAGTATTGTTCAGTAAAATGCACGTTGAAGAACGTCAATTTATCATCTGAAGACAGCACTGCATCTGATGAAAAAAAAAATGATTCGATCGCCCTTTTCGGAATACTGATTTATTGACGCCGATGTGTCGAATATTTCAAAAAGCGCACTTAATTTATCCTGATTGATCCTCTTTCCGATACTTATTTACTAATTATATGAAGGCATCTTGACGTGGTAAGCAAACAATGAAAATGCATAAAAATTGGTACAATTGAGAAAAATCATGCAAACCCTACTTGCCTTTCACTTCGATGACAAAAAACATGGATTTTCAACTGACGAATATCTCCGTATTGCGTGCGTTTATGCATAAATAAGGTGGAACACGAGATGATCTAGATTCTAGAGTGCTGTAGAGTCTAGACGGAGAAGTAAGATATTCTAACACATGGTACAGTAATTTCTTGAAGAAAATTTTGCTAGAAAATATAATCTTAATTCACACAGATCTGTGAGAAGAAAATGAAAGAAAATGTTTACAAACTTGACTTGCAGAAATTACTCCAATGAATGAGTCCTCTTGTTGGATATACAGTATGAGTCAAGAGTGTATTTTTGTAGAAATTTTGGAGTATAAACAAGGATGAATCCTTGATTTGAGTTAAACCCAGACCTAGATTCCATAGAATGGCACACAAACACAGTCATGTTTTGAGATCCGGGGAAGTTCGAAAAATTCAGCGGCATAGTCTTGAAGCAAAAGTGGTAAAAAAAATGTTGGTGGGACAAATTCGACTTCAGACGCAAAATAAATAATACCACTGAATGATGAAAATGATTCTTTTTTACGCGTTGCATTTGTCAATTTTTCAAGATTGTGGACCCTGAATAAAAATTCGGGGTTGCAACTTGATATTTTCTCAACGTAGGATGTTTCAACTCGTCTCTGAAGCATCTAATTGGGATTATCTCTGGAAACCACGGAACGCTTCATATTGGCGAAAGAACAGCAGCATAAGAATACTGTTTTCTATTTGGTTCTTGTTGATAAATTGCATTTTGTCGAGTTTCTTTTCCTGTTCAACTGAACGTGACTATTGCAGGGAAAAGTCTGGTTCGCAGTGCAAAGCTGAGTTGAATGAAGCTGTCTCGCACAGCCATGACATTTATCAAAGTTTTCTGCGCACATTCCATTCTGCTCACTATGTTATGTAAAAGTCGTATCCGTTTCTGCGTGAGACGCTTGAGCATTATTTAAACTTGTCATGTTTAATGAGACACTCGGCGTCATTCTCACACAGCGGAAGAAATCAGGAATATTTTTGAAATGCGGAAACGTTCGCATCCTGATGATGTATACACACACAACACGCGATACTGTCAATTTCAGGCGGAATTCCAGCTGCAATGATATTCCAGTACAGATGAACCGTACTGCAAATAGTTCTCAGGCCTGAAGGGTGCGGATCATAATGGAATAATTCTAGCATTTTGGTTTGCCCGAAGGTAAAAAAAAAAAAAAAAATTGGCAGAGTAGCTGACGTCTCGAAAAATCTTGGAAAGATAACCCATTGGGTTTGAAATCCGCTTATGCTAATCCAATGAAAGAAATAAAAAAATCCCACACAGCAGCCAAGGCTTAGGAAAATTTGTCTATGAAAAAGAAAGAAATTGGGATTTTTCTGGAGTTTGTCTCTCTTGATCGTTTCTTCTTTTGTTTTTTTATGCCATGTGACACAAAATTTTTCAAATAAATCCTCGCGCTACTGCCCAAAGGTTAATTGACACTGCAGGGAAGAGAAAAATAAAAAAATTATCTGATGTGTTTTTAAGGGAAGTTAAAAAGTGATTGAACAGGTGAACCCTTGCCTCCAGCATCAGCAAACCTGTAAACTCTGTCAGGGACTGTAAGGTGTTGCCCTTTACGCTCCAATCACTGCTACACCTGAAAATGCCACAAACACATAAACCATTAATATTTCACAACCCTGCTTCCGACCACAAGAACTCACCTCAACTCGACCTTGGAAACCAGTTTTCCAGTACTGGTCCCAGAAATCCGCAGCACCGAAGATCATCACTCATCTTGAGATTCTCTTAGCGATTGGTTCCTGAAAGTGCTCTTGAAAAAGTGTGTCTTCCTGATTCCTGAAAGTGAAAACTGTTGTCAATTTGTATTCCTGAATTACACCGTTCGAGGAGACCTAGTCTAGGCCGCAAACGGCCTATTGTGCCTTCCTTTATTTCCTAAAACTTTTATTTCTTTGTCTTTGGCTCTTTGGAGTCTCTGACAAAATTGGTGGCCAGTGAGTGTGTGCAAACACTTCTGGCAAAGTGTAAAACCCTATACTCTTTCAATTTCAAAGTGCACAAGTGCTTTACCAACAAGTTCCTCAGTGCTAACTACAACTGTTAGTGTCTTGCTCAAACAAATTACGTGAATTACGCCTCACAAACATTCCTTGAACTCCTTACAACCAAAAACGCACCATGCCACGTCATCGACTCCTTACAGGAAACTTGCTAACAAGAACATCTGGAATACCTCATCATACACCACCCATTGGAGAAATTTCTACCACAGACCCATTACACTTACCTTCAATGTCAACATCACGTCGGGGAAATACACGCCGCCTTGGTCGTCCACCACTCAGATTACCACCTTCAACACCTCCAGGCTCACCCTCGATCCGCAGCGAAGATACGTCATCAACTTCTGCCGAACGACAACCATATCTCAGCCTCTGCAGAACGACAAAACGACATCTTGCCATTGCCCAAGCTATGGTCCTGGGAGATCAAACACATACCCAATCATTAACACCAACAACCCAATCTACTTTCCGTCGCATTCACCGTGCACTCATATCTGCATCGGCATACATCCTTAACATACCTACAACCTCCTACGACGTCCAAGAAGCACAGCAGATCCAACAATTAGAACAAGAACTTAACAACATTGCCCTTCATTCTCCGGACCAACTACATTCTGACTGGTTAAGACTGCAACCAATGCAAAATTTTATCCTAGGAGTTACATTTCCCATATTACAAACAAACCCTGAAGAAAACACTATCGCCTCTGTTGAACCACAAACTTTACAAAATCCGATCCAACAACCTCAGCAACAAGCCCAACCAACAAATAACCAACAAAACCTCAATATTTTTCCAGCCAACATAACTAATACACTCAAAACGGAAGAAGACGCTGACCCCTATCCATCCGCAGTCCTCATTTATGCTACTGGACCTTGCCCCTCACAGACATCCAACAAATATGTCACAAACTATGAAAAACGATCAGCCCTTCCAAACTTTAAACAATTCTCAGGACTGCCAGAAAGTACCTACACCTTTGAACGTCTATGGTCACATTTCAAAAACGTACACATCTTACCACGCGATTATGTTACACCCGCTGAACGAATCCAACTCTCCTCTGCCATCTTAGCGAACGCGCCTTTGACATTATCGACCGCCATAAAGACAAATCCACTGAAGAAGACTACCTAAGAATCTTACGTACCCTATTTCAACAATACGGCAACATCCAATCACTCCGCCTTGCTCTCTACAATCAATTCGCTGAACTCAAACCGACCGCAAATACACCTAGTGCCCTAGCTGATTACTTAGAAGACATCATTGCTATCATGGAACAACTAAACAACCTACGGACAAACATGCCACAAGTACATACTCGATTTTGGCCTCACATCAAATCCTTCTTGCACCAAGCTGGACACTGGACTAATGTCCGCCTCGAAATGCGCTGCCACCAACAAGAAGATCCTGAAGACACCAACACATGGACCGATTACCCTGAGAACAGATACAAATGGATCAAAACCTATCTCCATTCCGACGACCCAACCACAACTACAGTCAATACTCTCACCTTCCTCACACGCCCATCATCTAAAAAAGATAAAACCTCAGAAAAAGACTCCGACGCACGTCACAAAAAATCCGACAGATCCCGACACTCCAGACCTTCCAAATCTCCCGACCGCAGAAACAAACAACGTTCATCTCCCACAAGACGACGATCCAGAACACCTTCTCGGAAACGCCACCGTCAATCCTCTCGCAGCCGCTCTCAAACTCCAGATCGCCGGTCACGTCCATCCACGTACTCATCTTCAAGAAACCAGAACATTTCCAACAATCAAAAAACTGGATACAATTGCCCATTTTGACATCATCTGCAAAAGATAAAACCTCAGAAAAAGACTCCAAAGCACGTCACAAAAAATCCGATCAATCCCGACACTCCAGACCTTCCAAATCTCCCAACCGCAGGAACAAACAACGTTCATCTCCCACAAGATGACAATCCAGAACACCTTCTTGAAGACGCCACCGCCAATCCTCTTGCAGCTGCTCCCAAACTCCAGATCACCGATCACGTCCATCCACGTACTCATCTTCAAGAAACCAGAACATTTCCAACAATCAAAGAACTGGATACAATTGCCCATTTTGTAACTCTACACACACATCCACCAACTGTTGCCTAAGCATAGAAGAGCAAATCAGTGCCACCAATACCAAAAAACTCTGTTATAACTGTCTGAGCTCCAGACATCACTCCACCTTATGTCAAAGCTCCAACCAATGCCACAATTGCACCAGTAAACACCACACAGCACTTTGCCAAAAATCAAACAACAACCAAAGTAACAACTATCCTCCATCCTCCTACGTCAGACAGAATAACTATCACGATCTACGACAAAATCCACCGCAAAGAGGAAATTACAATAATCGCCCCCAGTACAACAACTGATCACAATACAACAACCGTCCTCAACAAAATGAACGACAATATAACAATCAACG